GAATTATTTCCTTGATTAGCTCTAATAAGTGATAAATTTAATATAAAACATAATATTTTACAAAAATTATTAACAAACCAAAAAATTGTAGACAGCTTATTAACATATTTTTTTCTGAAAGTGTCGATGGCTTTAGAACAATTTTCAATTTAAGTGATAAAAACGATTCGTTCAAGATTGATAATAGGGTTTAAAAAGTTATATTTAAAAAAAAGAAAATTTAGTTTAATATTAAAATCAAAAATATTCTCAGAATTAATTGAGATTTAAGAAAAATTTAATAGAAGTGTTCAGGAGTTTTTTTATTTTAATTGGAGTATTCAAACTAATTAGATTAAGTATTATTATTATTATTATTATTTTAATTTTAGACTAATGAAATGAATTCTTAGACTAAAAAAAAGACATTGAGCACTAGCAACACAGGCTAGTGCTGTCACGCTACACACTATACTGAAATTCCGTCAAACATCCTTACAATAGTAAATTGAAAAAGAAGCCAACCTTAGCGAATTTGGGTCAACTTTTCAAAACGTCAAATTGTTGATGTTTTAATATGAAAATTTGTTCAAGATAGTAATTCGACGTTAGATTTAAGTGTCCCAAATTTGAACCACGTGGGCCTATCTTTTGAACCGCACCCATATAAAATTTCTCATGCATAGTGAGCCCTTCAAAAAAAGTACTCATTTTTAATATTATATGATGAAACGTGGTCCATGGTAGTCATTTAACAAAAAAATTAACGGTAGAGAATTTGGGTCACTTAGTTCCCGCTTTTTACCCTAACATGTATAGGGGTTACCATGAGAAGAAAGGTCTTGTAGGGAGAGAAAGCCTAATTTCTAAATTTTTATGACGGAAGCAGAAAAATGGGATAAGCTCCATGAAATAAATTAAGATTCCTAGATTTGGATCACGTCGTAAAATGTTTTGGCGAATCTTTCAATGTTTGGGCTTTCATAAAAAGTATGCTTTTGCACAAAAGTAATGTGTAATTTTTAGTATGCATTAGTACCAATATGTGTAAATAAGAGGTGACTTGCTGTAGGGTATGTAATGGTGTCTTGCTCTGCTATAGCGCTTTTACTTGTTATTTGTGAGTGTGCAATTACATGACTGTAAATATGCTCTTCATCGTGCTCACGTCTTGATGGTTTTATATTCAAAATTTTTTGCTTTGCTACATCTGCCAACCACATAATCGCAACTTTTGCAATTCAGATGACAAAAAGTGGCAAAGAAAAAAATATATGCCGCCGTAGCCGAATACATAACGAACACCAAAATCTTCACTTGAATCGCTAGTTTCTTGGTAGAAGCATTGAAAGCTTTCGAATTGCTCTCAGCCTAATATGTATTACACCATCTCAATAAAACTGCAGCAACTTTGTTTTTGTTCGGAAAGGCTCTTAAAGGGACGTAAGTAATTTCTAAAGGTATCAGTCATAGTATTGAAGGAAATAGAAATCGTCGAGCAAGACATTCAGCTACAACTTGTGGGCGGGGACCAATTTGGTATAGGCAATTTTTTCTGCGCGCTTAGGGGTAATCGCGCATTTTCAAAGAAATTATCTCTTTCAGCTAATTACATTTTTCCACGTACTTTAAAATGTCAAAGAAAATATTAATGCAACAAAAAAAAATGTTTTGAAATATTATTTTGGATGTGTTTAAAAATACGAAACTTACAACTTTTCCAGGAATAGAGATAAAGGGTTTGAAATTTCTGCATTTTACGAATAAAAGGGCAATGGCGTAATCGTGGTAGTTCAACTAACAAAATGAACTCTGTGTGAGGTTCTAATATTCATCCAGATGAATGCCCTCATTTGCTTTTTAATTTCAATCAAGCTCTACAAAATATTCGCAAAGTAATAATTTAAGCTCTAAACACTCGAATTAACAAATTGGATTTTAATTGCAAATTCCGGAAAGCTGCCGAAGTTACGAGATGCTACAAATAAAGCACAAATTTCATTAAATCTTAAACAGTATAAAAAAGAAGGCTTACCAAAAAGTTTACCAGTTCTAGATTGAACTCATTCAAACAATTTCCGTCTAATTCATTTCGTGAAAACTGATATCACTCTCACGATTAATTATACAGGGAATGATAATAACAATTCACGAAGAAACGCTTTACTTCAAAAAAGCAACTATATGAAATCTTCGTTTTCTTTTTTTCTATTCTGCTTTTGGATTCAATTAAAAACGCTGGATTGGGTTTGGCGTATAAGATAGCATTAATTTTTCCCAAAGTATTCGCAATTTTTAACAAATTTGACAATTATACTACTCAGCTCTGTGCATCATTGTTTCCCCATTTGATTTTTCATTATATTGTATTAATAGTACCTTTCAAAAAAACTAACTTCAAAACTAACGTTTAATATCAAAGTGATCATCCTTAGTTAGACGAAAATTCTATAACACGACCGTTTATGTTTTCATTAATTATTAAAGTTTTTACCGCTAAGAATAACAATTGTTTCAGGTTTAAAATAGTACACATAAATCTAGTCATGATTTGCTTCATACAATATCTTGTTCTTAAAATCCTGATTTAAATTATGATGCCTATAACTTAGGACAGTACTTTTGCCAATTTTAATATAATCATTGCTCCATTAACCATCCTATACTGGCTTTTTGAACGTACCATAATGAACGCTTTTATGAGATTTTATTTGCCTAACATCTTTAATCTACTGTTTGTCTATTTACAAACGTTGTTTTGTGTATTGCAAAGTGCCGCTTCGTGTTGTCATCTATCTATGTAATTGTTACGGTTGAAAGTAGATTCAGTTTTAATTGTTGTGTAAGTAATTAATTTACATAATTGATGCTTCATTAAATTATATTAGTATATAAGATTTTTTCACTTCTAAATTAATTGAACCAAGGTTTGAGACATACTTGCAATTAACTGAAAGCAATTGCTTACTAATTCGTCGAACAACGTCTTCTCGCATAGGAAATTATTTTTGCGTTATGAAATATTGTTTATATATATATGAGGTAATCTTCCCAAAGCCAAAAGACAACAGGCAAAACCATCACAATACTTCAAATGAGATTTAAATACCGCACATCCACTCCACCTAATCAAATTTCCTTATTCCCTTCTTTATTTCGTTCCCACGTGGACGCATAGATTTTAAAGAAACCTTTGCATGGGAGCGGCCATAGAAGGTGAACTGACGTGGTTCATATTTAACTAACTTAATTTAATTTTTTGCGTTCTTTATTTTGCAAAATACAGAACGATTTTTTAAGCTATGGTGTTCAAAATTAAAATCGGTAGTCCAAATTCAGGATAGTTAATTTTACGTTTACAACTTAGTATAGACCAATTTTTACCAAAATATCAAAAATGAGCCTTTTTGCCGTAGAAACCTTTACATGAGAATCATCGCACGGGGTGATATCCATCCGTGGTCGAGTTTGACACAGTTAATTTCTATATAGATTACTATTGCGGACCAATTTTCATGAAGAAATATCCAAAATTGCCGTAAAAAGACTTACCTTTCGCAGAAATGGGTTTATAGTAGGTGGAGATTCGAAATATTGGTCTAGTGTATTCTAATTTTTCATGTCTATTTAATATGGCGAGCGTTACTAACTAGCGGTTCTAACGCAAACGGTCTCATCTTATTTTGAATAGGGCATAAACGGGCTGAAGCAAGTCAGTGTATCGAATTTCTTCAAAAAATCTTAAAAATAACGTGACGTGCAGTATAAATAAAACCAAACAAAAAAATGTATGTAATATATGAAAACAACTGTGAGAAAACTTTTTATTTTTCAACCACTTGATTTACCACGTATTTTTTTAGCAAGATTTTTTAACAAAAAGTGCGGGTCAGATTTCTAAACCAATAAATTCCGTATCCCGATTCTTTAAAATGCTTCAATTAACCATCAAGGAAGGCTCATTTAAAGGCCGGGTTTCGGTTTGCTGGAAATTTACACGTAATTTTGTTTCAAAGATTTTTTTAATACTGGTTTCTATTTTTCCGATTTCTGAAGCATATGAAATATCCGTTGTGTATAAGTAATCATATGCAGCTAATAATGCAATATTAATAATGCAATATTAATAATGCAATATTAATAATGCAATTCAAACAAGAGTTGTTTATTTGTAAATGAAAAAGTTGCATTTACTTTAAAATTTTGCAGTGAATGATAGAAATGCACCATACTTATTATTTCAGCTATAATAGTGTATATGTAAAAGATTTTATCAGAAATATATTCTTCCTCAGCATAAATGTTTAGTCCATTTTAGCTTAGAGTAACTATTGATCGTCTAGTCTTGGAATTTCAAGCATTTAAAAAACAATTTGAGTTGAATATGACCAACACGCTGCAACAACTTTCGGTCTAAAATTTGACACGATTTTTTATCTAAATAATATACAAGCCCCACAGAAAAATGGTATAACATCTGACACAGTTAACAAAGCTCATATCAACGTTTGCATCCACGCTTGCATAATTTAATTTTATAATGTTTCGTATGTACTTGCTCTTTGGTATCGATTTTTTGATTTAGATGAAATTCATGATTCGCCTTGAAGTAATATAGTTTTCTCACTTTTTTTTATGAGAAGTTTCCGCATATATTTTTATGAGTAGATATAGTTACATGAAAAGAGAAAATTGCAGCAGATATAAGTTTAAGAAAAATATATCATACACAAATGTTAATGTACAACACATTAAAAGTATTCTAGTTAGCACATTATGTAATATGTAATCTCATAATTGAACTAAGTAATATATTTATTTCTTCTCAACGATTATGTGTAATATTGAAGTCATTTGGCAATAGTTACACTTTCCACAACTTTTGTTTAAAATGTTTGCATACTCTTACTATAATCGAATATTGCATGTGTACTAAAATGATTCATAAAACTTTCTTTCGTTGAGTAGCATATTTAATTTATATATTTGTTGATTCATTGAATTCGGAATGATGCTGCTGATTACGAATAAAAATATATCTATAAGGGTGTATATGTGTGTAGTTTTCTATATTCAGTATTGTAAAAGAAAAAGAACAGAATATGTTATACTTTCGAAACTGTTTAAAGATGTGGATTTGAATTTAAGCTTCAGTTGCATTTTTAGCCTCTTCTATGCTTCCATCAATGGTATCTTGAGGTTGTTGGATAGCATTCGAAGAATTGTTTTTTTGAGTTAAAATCACAGACTCAGCAAAGCTCTGTGATGTTTGGTCAACAGCGCTCAATATGTCTGGCTTTTTGGTAGCTTCTAATGTTGAAATGTCAGAGGTGAAGACTGCCATTGTTTTCATTTCTATATTACTGGCCAAGTTTTCCATAGAAGATATTTTTGGCATTATTTGTGCTCCCGCTTTAAATAAATTTTCATCTTCCATTAGTGAGCTCAAAACATTTTCTTCTACTGATGTGTTTTCACCAACTTCCTTGTTATCCTTTTCAATTTCCGCCTGCTCATTTTTAGCGTCAAATTCTTGCAACTTATCAGTTTTGCCAGTATGGGAGTCGTATTCTTGCAATTCACGATCCCAGTCATCTTCAGTATCGCTTATGGCTGGGTTAGACGTTTTGTTTAGAGCGTCATATGCTGGCTTAATGGTATCTTCGCGTGAGTTACAACGATTGGCAACAGGCCCTCGTACCCGATTGTCGCAATCCCATTCGCGATCATTATCTTTCCGATCCCTCGAGATGACGCTTCCTCGGCGGCCACCCCTATTTTCACGTATGCAAAAACGATCATCAGCACTCTCACGTTCACGAAAACGATTTGTTCCTGGTCCACGCCTTTTGAAACCGCCTACATCTTCAACTTCTTCATCATCCCAAGTGTGCCGTGCGCGATTAGCCCCGCCGCCCCGCCCACGAAGGCTGCTCCTAGCGCCGAAGTTATTACCATCTCGATCGAAAGAGTTGTTCCGATTGTAAAATCCTTAAAATCATTCAATTAGCAAAGCGTTTTTAGAATAATCCTGCCAAAACTTACCAGCGCATCGGCCTACGGCACTTTGACCGCGCATAAACATAGGTGGCCCTCCTGGAGCTCTTGGATTAAAGGAGTTTGGAGGAGGTATACGCATTTGCATTAGATTTGTGGGCTGATTAAATCGATGTGGTATGGTAGGATGAAATTCCCCACCATTGTAACTTGTTCCACTCCTGGATCCACCCATGCGGTTGTCAAAATCTATAATATAAAGTATTCAAATATTAGTTAATGATTTGGTGGCCTTGATACAAACGACCTCTACAAATATATTTTTTAACAAACAAGAATGTTGTTTTCAGGCGAATTTTTGATGCCTATCTGTCCCAAAACAGTGATGATGTTGGCAAGTTATGTAATTATCTGAGACGAATATTGGATTAACTTTTTGGATGATCTTACATGTTTTAAATTAGCATCCACACGTTTTATGTTACAAATTTTTGATTATGTCTTAAATCGCTACTGGTATTTTAAAATAAGAAAAACGCTCCAATTTTGTACAGAAAAAAAAAAACTTCGGTTTGTTCTGAAAATCCGGTAGATTTTTATGCTGAGAGGAGGGAAACAAAAGTTTAGTTTTTGACGAGATATAAAGTAATTTTAAATCTAAAAGAAAATTTTTATTATTACTATTGCCTTATTTAACTCTAATATTATTTATTTGTCTTAGAGAAATAAACGCTTAGATTAAGGCATGAAGAAAACTAGGACCCAAGAATATCTATGGTCAAAAAAGACCAGACGGTCATTTCAGTAGTTGAACGTTGAAGCTGTTCGTTTTACTGATAGGCAATTCAAAACCGTAGGCAACTTCCGTAGGCAATTTCAAAACTTTTGCCGGTCATGCTGATTGGGAATATTTGAATTGTAAAATGGTTTTCGCAGCCACAAAGGGCACATGCTTGACTAGAAGATTTCGCTCGACTGAGTATATAGATTTGTTAAGGACTCATTGGTGTGCTGCAATTAGCTGACCAACGCGAATTTTTACAAATATTCTGATCTTGATTTTCTCAACGGATGCAATAGTGGCGCAAAATTAGAGCTGAAGTTAATGTGTTAGTTTAAAATGAAAAAAAAACTTGGAGTGTTTACATATATGAAAAGCCTTAACACACATGTAGCAACTGTTTGTTTCTTGCAAGGGTGTAATAAGTCTTAAAAGGGAAACCAATGCAAACTTATGCGATATTTAATTTCTTTACTAGTTTATCTGCTGGTTTAAATATTCGGCGCGCGGTAAAAATTTAGATTGCCCAAAAATTTTATTTTGTAAACATAGTTATGTAGCAGTTCTGTTTCAAATGTAAAAACATTTTACATAAAACACAATTTTTGAAAACAAGGAGGAGCACAAATCCAACAGTTTTTATCAATAAAATAACGTAATATCATTAAAATAGCACTCTCTATTGAAACGCACAAGCTTTTTTGACAAGTTCGTTTAAACATTGTCTATTGGGAAATAATTGCATTTTCTTAGTCGACATTTGAATGTTTTTATTTACATACACGCGAATCAAAGAAAAATTGAACTTTTTATAACCCCGGCATGTCTCATTACCTACAGTCATATAGAATAAGTGATTTTCTTCTTTGTTTTAAATCCGACCTGTACTATCTGCAATACCTGATGAGTTGCAGTTTTTTTTTCTTGTCATTCTAACGAAACTGTCAAAAAAGAAAGAATACGTTTTATCTGTTACTATATTTTTCCTCGGTACGATATAATTTTTATTTAGTACTATTCAGCTCCCGAATGGATAACAAAAAGGATTTCTACATCAAATTTGTCAAGCAATGAAAATTGAGACTGGATTTTCAGATCAGTCAGCCCCACCTCTTTCGAAAACCGGATCTATGGAATTCTGACCTGTGTGTGGTGTGGTGCTTCAACTTATGTATACGTAAACTATGGCGAATCCCTCAAAAATGTAATACACGCTGCCGGCAAACAAATCAATGTAAATGAAAGGCAGCCAAAAAGTTTTAGTAGGAAAAAGATGTGCATTAAATGAAATATTTTTCTCCAATATGCGGTGTTTGCGCCAAAGAAAAATTTGAACCCTTTCTCTTTTGGTCAGTAGTTTTAGACTACAACGTCCTTCTTATTTCTTCTTGCTCGCGCAAAGGGACCGCACGGAGAACTTAGAGACATCAGTGCAAGGTTTTGCAAAAGACTGCTTCAAAGCAGTTTGATGCAAGAATAACATTCAAATATGTTCCCCCACTATAAATTTACATTAATAAAATTTCAGTTGTAAATTTTTAAATTCCGAGATAAGAATTCGAAATACGAAGAATATACCTCTCGACTCTTTTATGTACGGATCCTAAACGACGAATTTCGGTTTAGAACTCGAAATACAGGTCAATGCAAAATAAAGTACATGAAGTCTACGTGCTTACCATTCATAAAGTCGATCCTTTCCATTGAAACTCCACTCATGTTGCTGACACGCCCACCCTGTGATTGGAACGTGGTTGATCCCGCCTCATTTTCCCGCCATCTGCCATCGTTGGCGTCCTCTGGACCGCTACGTCCACCCCAGCGTGAGGAGTTGCCAGAATTGCCTGTGCGAATACGCTCTCTATTGAAAAGCTCACTACCACTGCTCACAACAAGAGCCACATTGCTTTCGTCTACGGCATTAGTAGGAGCGGTATAAGATGGCGGCGGTTGGCTAAAATTTAAAGAATTATCAACGTTAGCTTGACTGACAGCAGTAACACCATCTGCATCTTCCATCTCAATATCCATATGATCATCACTAATACTCGCTATATTAGTAGGCAGAGCGGAAACAGACTGACCACCTGGGGGCAGTGGGAACTGAGCATGAGTGACTGTAGAAGACGTCGCTGTTCCCATAGGTGAAATATGAGGGGGACCCATGCCTGGAGGCCCGTTTGGCCCCACCTGACCTTGTATATGACCGAAACTGGGCATCATCATCATGGCAGCGTGAGGTTGCACAATATTAGGTGACATATGTAGTCCCGATATAGGCATACTCATAGGGGGACCTAGCATACGAGGGGGACCCCCCATAGGCGGCGCTATTGAGAATTGGCTAGGGACCATAGGTAACATTGGCGGAGGTCCTCCTGTCATAAAAGAAAAGTTATACAACATTCTTTTATTCACCTATCCTTTTCAAAATTACAAACTAAAAAAATTATTATAAAGTATAGAAGCTTTTTATTAAAATGTTTTGGTACTTATTTGAAAATAAACGCAAATAAAATTATAAAATATTATATAAAAAGCTAATAAAAAATAAATAATAATCAAGATACATAGGTTACTTTAATGGTATTTTGCTGTTACTTAAACCTTAAACCACTTCGGCTAAAAGTTATATTAAACTTGTGCCGGTCTACATGACATTCAGAAGGACTCAATGATATCTGAATGGATTTAAGCTTATCTGTCCCTGCACATACCTTGTCTGTCCATTTGTATTTGTGTATAACCTTAAAGTCGCAATATTTGAGATATTTTAATGAAACTGGCCATACTGACATGTTTTCGCCTAGAAAGCAACCTCTTGCGAACACTCCGCACATGACGCCTTATTAAGAAAAAATGGAGATGTGAGAAAACAAAGCAGTTTTCAAAATTTTCTGGCAAAATTGTCAAAGTATTCGGGCATTCTAAATTGGTGTAAAAAATGTGGACGGTATAGCCCTGACTTTTTGAACTCCTACCCTTATAAATGTTCGTACGGCAACTAAGGCTTTGCATAACAAAAAGCACAATTTTTAATGGCTCATTCTGAAAATTGTCTCTAATATAATTTGATCTCAATTTAAGTATACCTACTGGGCACGTAGGTATGGTTTTTGAACAGAATCTCATTTACGGTCTCTCAACTGAAAGGTATACTTCAACGTAGAGACAAGGTATTCTTTTGGGTATTTTGTTTTTATTTCCGGAAAAATCTCAGTCTTGACAATTTCTCCGGTTAGTTTGAAAACAACGTTTTTTAAAGAATGCAGAAAATAAAAAATATTTAAAAAGTCGCCAACCATATCCGGACTATATTTGTATTTAAATAAATACGTACCTCCACTTTGCGCTGATGGTGGTAGGGGTGGTGGTTGTGTGGTGTCAATGTTAAATATCATTGGTTGGCCCGTTCCTGGACCAATACCAGCAGATGAGCTCCCTAAACTGCTTGGATTAATAGCTGTTTCCATGGCTTTTTCCTTCAGATTTTTTATCTTGTTTATTTTCTCCTTCATCCACGGCGGCATTGAATCTTCATCAAACATTCCGCCCTCTTCAAGGCTGTCAAAGTCTGTAGACTCATTCAACTTGCTCCACGGTATAAACGTTACGCCAAGTTCTAAATCCCAGAAATCTTTCCATTCTTTACTTTTAACACCTTTACCGGCCGCCCACGATATACTGATAGCTCTGCCCTGTAGTTTGTGGTTCTTTAAGCTCTGCATAGCCTTATAGGCATCTTGGCGACGATTCATAACTATAAAAGCACAACCACGGGGTATGATTTGATCAATGCTAATAATGTCACCATATTCGCCAAATGTATCAGAAAGTTCCTCTTGATAGACCAATTTTGATAGATGACCAACCCACAAAGTCGTACTGCACACTAAAAAGGAAAACACCTCAACTAAATTTCGGTGAGAAGAATGTTTTTTTTTAACTAAGTATTATCTACACTATAAACCGAATGAAGTCGGCTGTCGGAATCCTCGAATTAACAAAAATTTGTAGTAACAATGAAAACTGTTCACATTTATTTTTTGCGATAGTTTAAACCTAAAAGTATTGCGTTATGCATACAAATACGCGTGGTAACCGGAGTCTAAATAATCTAAAAAAAATATTATTCTATAGAAGAAATATGGAATTTGTCACACACTGTCATGAAAACCACAAGTATTTTTTATGTAATATATCAGAGCAAAGGATATTGTGATTGCAAAAGTTAATAGCGTTTTTATACTGTACATCACCTATGGTATAGGGCATATCAAGTCTGCGCGGTACATTGCACGCGGAGGGTCTGAAAAGAGACCCACGTTTCATTATATTGTTCGTTCCGGAATCATTTTCTGTATCGATATAAGTTGGTCTGTCCGTCGAAAACCTTGCCATTCATTTCTGTGTTCACCGTACAGGTCGCAACGTTTGAGATATTTTTAATGAAAATTGGTATTTTGACGCGTATTGTCCCTAGAAATAAAATGGTTTCGATGGGATCACCTCTGCAACCACTCCCCAATGTAACGCCATATTTCAAAAATAATTGCCATATTCAAAACATCGCGATTAAATCGCTAGGTAATTGTATTACGCGGTTTTAGATTGCTGTGAAAGATTTTTACCGGAAGGGTAATTTTTGGAAATTATTTCCATATAGGAGCTTCTACGAAAAGTAAGTCTTTAGATACAAGAAAACTTTGCATTTTATTATTTCGTGATGAAAATTTCTGCGTGATAGTTTTCTAACACGAAAACTGACTTTACCAAATTTAGATGGGACAAGTTTATTTTTTGGATTCCACCCATTAGTCTATAAAGAGAAAAGGCACAAAAGTTAACTTTACCAAACTTTGACCACGTGGACCTGTTTCTACGAACAACCCAATATAAAATAAAAATAAACAATAATAACCAAAATAAAAAAATAAGCATTCATATGGCATAAAGGTTTAATTTTTAATATATTATGATGACAATTGTATATAGGCAATCGACAGAAAAGGTAACCAAAAAAAATTAGGCCTGCATAAGCCTGCTTTAAGACGCGACATATGAGGTTTCCCATCGAAAGTGTGCACTCACACAGAAACAAGGAATAAATTTTCGTATTTTATGAAGAGAGCAAACAATTAATAAAACATGAGATTACTAAAACGACCCAGAAACTCTCCATTTTTTTAAGACCAATAACGAATTTTTAAAAAATCTGAATGCGGTCATTTACATGAAATAATTTGTAAGTAAAAACGCAATGTCGTAATCGATAATAATGGACGAGACAATCAAAGCGATAACTAATAAACCACAAGAAATTGTATTGCGAAATTTAAGACCCTTCTGTTCGCCTGCCCATGTTATGTTCGCCTATCTATTTTTGAGTTCAATATACAGGTCACAGTAGTTGAGGTATTTTGACGAAATTAGACACAGCGCCGTTGGAAAACGAGCCTTGTTAAGACTGGATTGAACAATGGAGCTTTCGCTGAGTAACAGTATTTCGCCCGTCTAAATTGATCTAAAAACATCTAGCCGACAGTCCAATTTTGTAAACCCCCCTCAACTGTAAAAGTTCTTATGGAATATGAGTTTGTGCTATGAGTTACAATTTCAGGTCTCTGGTTGATTCTATGTGGATTATGCGTATCTTTAGCATTTATCTGCGAAGTTTTATATTTTAGTACCATAGATACGACCCACTTATGAATAATAAAATGATTGATTTGCTTTGTAAAAAAGTACATTGTTCTAAATCAGAGCTGGCCCGCGGATCGCATTCACCACGCGATGTGGTCGAGACCGATCCGTTAAGTTTAATATTTCAAATTATTAAATTTTCCCTCATATAGCAATGCTGCAAACTGTGTCTGCCTTCACTACCTGCCCAGCTGCGCAGCTGCCGAATATAAAATGTATTCATGTTTTTTCTTTTATTCATTAGGATATAAATTGGGCGATTTAAAAAAGGGAAAATTGATGCGGAGTTGGATCTTGAAATATTTATTTACAAACGCACAAGATAAATCTGTGTAACATATGATTATTTAGAGACAGTTCTTAGAATAGCTACTTGCGAACACATCCCAATTATGATGTGAAGGCAGATCAGGAACATTTCCAATTTACCCCACCACATTAAAGTTTGTGTAACATGCTTACTGCATTCATTTTGTTGCATGATAATTATAAAAATGCTCATTCAAAATTCTGATTTTGGTACTTTTGTTAATCCCTTCAACTTCTTCTTTCCCCCGATTTGAGATGAAAATAACAATATTTATTCATTTTTTCAAAATGTTTGTCGCACTCCGAAGGAAGCTTCAGAGATGCCACTAAGTGTATATATTCTTGACTAATTTCAAATTCCGGATCTATTTAAGCACGTCCGTCTGTGTAATGTTTTTTATAGATATTCTTCTGGTCGCAAGAACAAGGCTATCGACTTCAAATTTTCGAAAGAGTTTAAAAATGACCTAATGACCTAATGGACACGTCTACAACGCCTGGCAAAAAATCAACAACGCTCACTTTCCTACACACTGCCACAAGTACTTGTGTATGGGATATATATCGAGTATTTAATTCACATTACCACCCGGTACGACAAAAGTCACTGAAGCACATGCCGTGTGAACAGCGCTTACTGTCCTATTACCACTAAACATATCAAAATTCAAAAGCAGTACTATTGTAAAATTTCACTTCGAAATACAAAGGCGACCTGTTAGCCAGTATTTGTTTACCATATAAATTTGGTAAATTTTGCGTAATGCACACTTTTATTTGGAAGGCCTCATCAACTACAAGGTGGCGCGAGATTCTACTCTGAAAAAGTGTACTACCATCTTTTACAACATGGCAATGGTCGTCGAAACGATATAAACTCTTCAACAATATAGAAAGGAGTCTGAAAAATGCCATTTAAAAAGTGCATTATATCAACCGAAAGTTAGGTCATGTTAAAATTTTGCCCTGTGTATGTAACATGAGTCCAATGCTTCATTCACACATTAGGTGAGAAAACAACCAGGACAATGGATTAGAGGAGAAGAAACAGCTTCTAAAATTCCAAGACGTTATCTCGCGGCGGTTTCATCATGTCGGCCTGCAGGAAGTGCATAGCAAAATTTTCATCAAAAAATCAATTCTCAGTTGTATTCAAATTAATTGCCGCGTTTGAGAGATGAAATCAAGTACAATGGCCGCGTTCAGCGTAAAAAAATGCGTCGTTTCATTCAGACAGTGGACAAATTGGCCCTTGCCCATAGCGATAACCAGTATGAAAGGATTAAATATCGAATTGCTTACTTATGCACTCCACAAAGTAGTTAACTTTACCGAATTTGAACCCCGTTGATCTATATTTTGAACACGCCTGCATACATCTAATGAAAAATAAACTCTTATATGCCAAAAAATTCTAACTTGTAACATGTTATGATAAAAATGGTTTCATAAAATTAATTCAGGGCCTATTTTTGAAATCTATTCCATATAAAGTTTGCGGGAAAATAAGATGAAAATTTGTCCACAATAGCAATCAGGTATTAAAATTAACCCAAAGAAGTTTAGTTTATTTTGTAGAACCGTGTCATATATAATTACGTTAGTCAAAAGTAAGCTTTCGTACGACGGACACGTTTAAATTGTAGCTTTTTATGGCGAGAAAATGTCAGAAATAATAAAGTCGTTAAGCAGAAATTTAAATATACTTAAATCACTTAGGCTATATAACCTTTTGGGCGAGCCCCACTAAAAGCGTTCTCATAAAAATAAACCGTAACTAGCAATGTAGGCGTAATTTTATTAGGCGAAGTGCCGTATGGTAAATTGCCAATCATTCCTGCTTGCGATTATAATATTTTTACTTCTTACATTTGTGTAAAAAACTTACATGAATTTTATATGTGCAAAGTTTTGGTAGTTTGGCAAACAGACATTCGGATTCATCGGACTAACGAAAGTAATGTCTCATTATCCTTTACAATAAATATAGTCAACATCAATAAATTACAAGCAAGCAAGTGACAAAGTTTGTCAAGCTTATAGAGCTTATTTTCTAAACCAGTTACCTACAAACTATGGAATTCAAAAGGGTAAAAGGTGGTATAAAAGCCTCTCATGACCATTTTAATCAATGACAGTTATGGTTTGAAAATTATACATTAACGTATCAACCACTTCTAGAATTTGCGACACTTCATTTCCTTTTGCTTGGGAAAAGTAAATAGTGCTCTATGTGTATAATTTTGATGCATCTTCATCGACTAAAGAGGTATGCAAAAAACATTTAAGTTGTATGTTTAGTAAAATCTTGCTATTTATAACAGTTACTGATATTAGTTCAATTATCTAAGTTATTAAATAATATAAATGATTTTAAATTTGCTCAAAATATTGTCGCACGAGAACCTGAAGTTTTGGTTTGAAACAAAATGCCAATGTTAACAAAATTAAAATCCTTTGCCGGAATATTCGTGTACAAAAGTTAACACAACACACAACACGTCATTATCAAAAGTTTTCTAAAAACTTCAACAACATGATGAGAAATTAGTAAGCGTAAGCATCACCCACGAAGAAATCCTGCCGGTAGGTCTAGCGCCCACAATTACTCGCTTAAAGGAAGAATAATAATTCCTCTTTTTTTTAATTATATAGGAACTTGTCCACTACACTGAAATGGAAAGTCTAGCTGAAAGTGAACGAAAATCTATTTAAGGCATTTTATAAAAACTTTATTTGAAATTTACCACTTAAATGTTCCTTTCTGATATCAGGCAAACCTTTTTTGCGGCGCTCACGCTCATGTTCACGATCTCTATCCCTGTCACGATTGCTGCGATCACGGTCACGAGAACTACGTCGTCGATTTAAACGAGGCGAACGACTACGTGAACGTGAACGGGTGCGGCTCCGTCTACGACGACTTAGTCGTTCGTGTGATCGTGAACGACTGCGGCTACGGCGTCTTTTATAGCGATCACGTTCCGGTGTGGGGCTACGAGAATCATTACCATCCAGATTGATAACCTAAACAGTAAATGAGATTTAAGCAAACCGCCAAAAATTAAAGATCACTTCAAAAGGGAAATTTTAACAGTAAATAAAAATGGAAAGTCTAATTGGGACGGCGAAGGTAAATTTTGAACAAAGTAATATTGCTCATTACAGAATGAAAGGGAAATGGAAAGCTTAGGACAGGCAAAAAATGTATACATAGTAAAATATTTGTTGCTGTTGACGTGTGTGTTTTATAAAATTTTAAATCATACACTTTAATCTTTTTAAACTCGTTTCATGGAACACTGGCATTTGTTTCACTTTTCAGGTTCAAACTTTGAGCAAATTTTTGTCAAATTTATAGAAATAATTTACAAACTTTGTATTAGAACTTACCAGCAGCTGTCTACTCAAACGTTGTTATACCTTTCAAAGCACGACTCCCCGAAGGTTTTTAAAACTTTTTTGCCTTACCTTTGTTTTTATATTGATAACAAAAATTTATCTATGTTAAAAAGTCGTTTTGGTATTTGAAATTCTTTTTTGATTTTATATTTGCATACATAACCATATAAAAAATAACTTTGTCTGTAGTAAAAATTCAATGTGATATATTTGTAACTGTGCCCATCAAATTAAATCAATGGATACGGACGCTACGTATAGATAGTAAATGTAAAATATTAAAAAGGAAAGAACTTGTCGGAAACTTAGAAGTTATATAAGAAGTAAAAAAATCAATAAATAAAAAGCGAATAATTAATAATATTTAAAAAAATGTACAATCCTTATCATATATATAAAACTAGGCTCTTTGATTCGTGAATTTTAACAACACATTAAAAATGATAAAATTTCGTCTAGCGGTTGTAAGAATTAGTTTATCCATAATAGAATTGGGACTTCTTGAACGGCGCTAGTAAGTGTTCCTAAGAATAATGCTACTTTCTTCATTGCTACAGGAACTAAATTGGAATGGGGGCTGCAGAACCCTTAGATAAATTCACAAAGAAAGTTTTCAAACGTTCAAATGAGCATTTGATCACTGCCTATTCACTTTGGTAATAAAGTACGCTTACCAAAGAAGGAAGTAGGAAACTTATGATATTTTAAGAAAATAATTAAAGAAAAGCCCATACAAGGCTGTAATCATATATAGTCACATAAGTGATAAGATTACGGAAATAAAGGAATAAAAGGAGCTTATTGTTTCGCTTGAACATTACTTGATGTTAAACACACAAAATTAATTTTTAGGTACATTCAACACGTCAGTTGGTTCGCTTGAACAATACTTGATGTTAAACACGTAAAATTAATTTTTAGGTACATTCAACACGTCAGGATACACCCGCTTTCGAGGAAGACATTCGTCCAAAAACAAATGAAAACATTTTTCTCGTCTTATTTTACAACTTATAGTGGATTGTCTCCACAAAATTATCGCTAATAAGCTTTAACTAATAGAACCTGACATTGATTCAGTAAAAGGGGAACTGCCTACAGTATTTATTGGCTAGGCTTTTTCTCTTAAGTCATCGTAATATTTATGTTATTATAGCACATTTGTTTTTAAATCAAAGAATCATGTGCCACAATACGTTTGAAATGTAGATATATTGTATCACTTCGAGAGGGTGACAGTTCAAGCATGTTAAGTTTTTTAACCACATAATCACGAGTTTAAATATATTTTTTGATATCTCTTTAGACAAACAAAATATTTTCATAAAATTATTAAAAATTAAATAAATCGCCTTTACTTTTTTCTGCAGTTGACTTTATACGTTTTCATCAGATGTAAATAAAACCGCAATCACGTAGGCAAACGTCTTCAGATAATAAAAATATAAATAATGTAGTGTGTGGTAGTAAATCACATAAATGATAAGGTACAAAAGGTATTTTCTTTTTCTTTTGATTGGAACTTTGCTTTATTCGCAGTTAATTAAGTTATATGGTACGTATCTCATCAGTTATATGAAATAAACTCGAAACGTCGAAAAATCTGTGGGTGTTATTGTTCTTAGATCGACTTTGTTAATTTTTATCTCCTTTCATATTCTAGCTTCTAACTTTTAACAAACTTGTTTATTTAAGTATAACAACATAAGGTATTGGTGCTGATTTCTTCTTATATTCTTTCAATATAAAAAATGGCACGTCAGCAAAAATTATAAAACAAAACAGCTAAGAACTTTAGGCTGCTTAGATACCCACCACAACCACGTCTTATGCAAGCGTACAAAGATTACAATACACTCTATTAAGCTTTTATGAAGAACATTGAACATTAACAGTCTACCGAAAAGATTAGTTTTGAAAGAACGGATAAATATGCTCGATCGGTTAGAAATGTGCCCGAAAAGATACGTTAATTGCATAACTTGATTTCTATGGCATCTAGATGTGCACATATGACACATTTCTTGATGCAGGTTCGTTGAATGGAATGAAATTTAAAGCCACGTACGTCTCTTTGTTCTTTTATTGTCAGATTTTGCAAAATGCAATTGTTAGGTTGGTTAAAATATGGCATAAAAGTGGTGGATATTAATATATTCAGCCAAAGCCGAATGTAACACTGAACCAAATAATTAAAATCAACCCTTCAAAATATTATAATGAAAAGATATACCTCGATTTTTTGTTCCTCTGACACAAATTCAACTTCCTTGTTGAAATCATTTACATCTTGGCTGGACGGACCAGGGCCTGAGTTCTAAAAATTATACAAGAATAACAATACATATTAGATATAAATATAAAAAAATACATTTACGAAAAAAAAAATTAAATACCTTTAAGACACTATGCAAATGTTTTTCGAAAGCTTCTTCATGTAATCGTAAGTTATGTTGTTTATCTTCTTGTTTAAACTTTTGAAAATTTTGTAAGGTCTGCAATTGACGCAACACGTTCGGATCATTTAGCAATTGTTTTAAATTGTTATTCTGTAAAATTATGAAAACAGTATGTTGAAAAAACATATATAATTTATATTAGAAGGAAATTGGAAACGAAAAGCACTTTATTGGCTTACTTTGCAACAAATTTTCTATCAGAAGACTAAATGGATACTTTATATAAAATTAGAAATTGTAAATAATGCTTGATTTAAAATCATCTAAAATTCTTGTGCCAACTATTGTAAACTTTTATTTTAAATTCTTCAAGCATATAAAGCATTTTTGGTCACTAATGATATTTAAACTAATTTAAATTTGCCTCCCTGTCAAAATGTAAATTATTAAAAAGCAAAACGGGCAATGAAAGTTAGCGGAATATCAGCTAAAGTAACAATTTGACAACAACCCTAGTAGTAAAAAAAAATTAGATATCGAAAATTAGAATTTCTAACTCCGGTGTCTTGTTTCGAATGTACTTATTGTGACATAAACAGCTGCTTTTTATCCCTAGAAATACATTAGTAACTTTATCAAAATTCAATATTAATTCAACAATAACTGCTTTTACAAATAGATTTAAAAATTATTTATTATAAACGTCAGCTTCTCAACTTGGGAATATATTTTTCCGAATATGCTTTCCTCTTTTTAACATGATGAAAATTATTATTATTACTATTACAACTTACTTAGACCAAAGAAGTAAAGCTTAGGACTACATTAGGATGAACACAAGCAACGGGCTCTACACTACCTGCTCCACTTTTTTAGAAGAATGGGCTTTATAAATTTAAATATTTTTTGTATATTATGTTCTCCAGCTGCTTTCAAAATGTCCATACGGATAGATGATTTTCAAATTTTGGAGAAGTTTCACAAAGCTTGTGTTTAACACTAAAATTTGCTGTGTAGATTTCTTAAAGATTGCAACAGCCCTTGCAAATGTTCTGATCTATGTTTTCCCGACATTGTTTGGATATTGTAGTGTAAAGAGATTATGAGTGACATGGGAGGAGTTTGGATGGTTGGACCACTGATCTTTGCCGTTTTTTTCCTTAGTTTTTTTCTTATATATATATTTTTGAATCTTTTTCATTGTGCCATATGTAGTCAATGATGCCGAAACCGATGCTTGGCCTGCCAAATCAATTTGTTGATGTCCCAAGAGATCATTAGACTCATTAATAAAAAAATTTCGATTCTAATTAATTTTATTTTTTAAACAAAACCGACGGTTACATAGCTGCCCGTCATCACAGAAATCATAAGTACATTTTTGTTGAGCCTCATAAGTACATTTTTATTGAGCCTCACCATTATTTATTCAAACCCAAAATAAAGTTATGTGAATAAATCGTCGAAGCACTATATAGATAACCAATGGGCAGAGTTAGAAATGTTCCTTTAACAAAATGTAATAAGCATTCTTGATACATTTGTGCCTTATTTTACAAGGCGTTCACATTTTAAAATCAAAGGAAGTAGTGCAATATTTAAAAGCAGTACATAGTAGTGAATTACGACCGTTTTGATATTTCAATTTGCGTAGTTTGCTTTCTAAATCAATTTGAAATAGAGTGTGATGACATGATAAACTCTGCTGGCATTCGTGTGTAAAAATTATCGATAGAGGTGAGTGTAACGTCAAATATCAACGGTGGTTTTCCAGATAAGTGAATACTAAAGGAACGGGGCATATCCATCCACAAAAGCATCTATTACGTACTAGACAGTCTACATACTGATCAATCGGAGAGAGGAAAATGCCAGATCTTCTTCATAGTATATAATTTGGATTGCAAATTTGCCGATCGCTGACAACATTTTCAATGCATTCTATGCTGAGGAGACAACATCTTTTCATCTAATTGGTCTACGAAATCGTCCCAACAAAACGATTCAGGAAGAACTTGAAATTCCATATGACTAAAATTCAATTTAAACGGTTTTCTTAAAAGCATCCAGCAATCACGTAAATCTTTAAGGAATTTCTCTTCTAAAAGGATTCGATAATACAAGAATATTGCAAAGACGTAGTATAATCGATCTACCATTTAGAAATTAAACTATGGTGGTTCCTAAAAATAATTCAATTAATTCTTTCAGCTTGTGCAGTGTCTATTTATTTCTTTAAACAATAGATCTAAATCTCACACACCAAGCACCTTTAAAATCTTTAGTGTCCCATATTTTTATATATTGTCATAAAAAAGTGAATGGGAAAAATATTATCTTTTACTTTTTTCTTCGCTTAATGAAGGTATTGTTAAGAATATTTAGTCTACCTTCTCGTAATGAGCACCACAATTAATTCAGAATTAATTTGCTTGTGCGCTGACCAAGTTAGCTCGTTTTCAATCCCAACCTGCTTGCAAAGACTTCTAAAGTTTCTGCCAAATTGTAGTCGGCAACTTAATTTTTGCGACAAGGAGAACGTCACCAACAAACAACACAGACGGACAGACGCTGTTAAATCAGTTCAGAGTTGCTTGCTGATCAGGAACATACATACTTTATAGGATCTCTGAAAAGATTTTTTTTGGGTTTTATGATCGTTATGGGGAAATGGGTATACAGGTGTCCCTCATTCAACACGATTAATTTGTACTGCGCTATAAAGAAACCGTGTTATACGAAAAAAGATATACTGTGTAGTATCGAGACCTTGTCTTGTGTTATATCTAAAGCGTGTTATACGAAACCTTGAAATAATATAAATAAAATCAATGTGTACCGTGTTATATCGAACCCATGTCTTAAGGTGTAAAATTTTATGATAAATGAAATTTTGTTCCAAATATTACATAAATAAAAAAGGAAGTTGACTTCAAACTAAAATTCAATAAAAAAAAAAGGAAAGGCAACATTATGATTTGCGAGAGACACGTTTGCGAACAACCAAATGCAGTATTTTTTCTAATTTCGCTTTCATATTTTAATATGGTTCAATTAGTAGCTTCGCTTAAATTTAATGATTTTGCAATTGATGTTGGCTCTTCTCCGCAATTAATACGAACTTAAATATCAATTTTTTCACCGAGTGAAATAAATTTTCGTTTAAATTTTTGCGTCTTTATCTTGTCAGACATTATGTAAATTTAATGCCCAAAAATTGGATTTACTATAAACGTTACAACTTAATTCTTTATATACCAGAAATAGAAACTATTATGTACTTATAAACTTTGCTTTCCAAAATGTTAAAAACAAACCAAGCAAAATCTGTATTAGTTTCATTTGCAAGGAACAAAACGCATACTGTCACTTCTCAAACGGAATGAGAGATTCTTTAGTAGCAATAAAGTTGAGGATTTCCATTATTGAACGCAATTCAAAGAAGAATTCAAATTTTCAATGTATATTCGATTTTTTGAAATCGTGTTATGTTAGAACCGCGCTACAATTATTCTCAATTCTTGTACCATATAATATCGAAACCATATTTTATAAGTATCGTGCTATACGGGGACGCCTTTACCTCCATATTTCAGTCGTGGATGTAAAAAGGACAAGACTACAAGTTAACGTATACAATTTATCTAAAACCTTTAGCACACTTCGATAGTTCTGAACAAAAACAAGTAAGAGAGTTATAGTCGGGTGTCAAATGTTTTATATTCATCATCGTGGTCTTAAGAAAAACAAGAGGAAGCTAGTAAAACTTTGATACTCCATACTGACGGATAGGCGATGTTGATTTTTACATTTCTCGTACAGGGACTAAAAATTTATCCGTAGTATATGGGAGTACATTTTTATCATTACATCTATTGTAATTGTAACAGGAGCTAAATCATACAACAATTCTTTCATATACTGGATCGAAGTCGACGATTCGCTTACAACTATGGCGTCACAAATACGAAATGGAATATATTCACAATGAAAACTATCAATGTACAGTTCTCAAAATTTCAAAGTATACATATCAAAAATCGTATACATTGATTAAATTAAGCAACGCATTGACTGACGATACGACATGAAAAAAGCTTCAGTTTTCACCGTTGAAATGCAATAACGCCGTACAAGCGGTCTAGGGCTCTGATAAATATTCGTGCCAAACTTTGCACGAGCATACAACATAGACCCACAGCTCAATTTCCTAATCCTCTCACGTTTGCAGCCGAGTATAGAAAAATACAAATCTGCTTCATAATTCATGATTCAATATTTTGGAACCCATTGGCGCTTTTACTACACATTTCAACAAAAACTGAAGTGCAGAAAAGCATAAAAGCCAGCCGTAAAACTTTATTCTATTGCAAAGCAGAAAGTTGATTATTGTGTCAAGTTCGCAAGAATTCGTTAAGAATCAAATTTTTTTAAAAAAAGTGTGTCAAATTTTTGCTGCTGTAACCAAAAGTGATCTACGTGTAGTAAATTGTTAACCAATTTTTTAGAAACGTCGGCTAATGTTACGTGCTTGTCTTCTCATAAAATTGTTACTCAATCTTAACCCAATGCGATGCTGTAAATGGGCAATAACCGAATGAAATATACTAACAATAAGCAACAGATATATAGGTTTCAATGTTTATCTCATCGCGAAGCCATGAATCATTTGTTTGAGTTTCCCATTCAACTCGAGACTAAAAGAAAATTCGTGGCTCAAAGTAGAATTGCGCACGATTATTATAAACATGCGCATAGTCATTACTTTCATTATTAATTAATAATTTGTAAAGTCTATAGCGTCTCAAATGAGTGTTAATATTTTTATAAGTATCATTCAGTATTAAAACTAAATATACATATATACCCATCGAAGAAAAATAGTACAAACGAGGAACACTTAATTGGCGAGCATAAGCATTTGTTTTTTCAATTAGAAACCTAAATCCAGTTTGGAATTCATAAGTCATTTAAGTATGTCATGGCATGTAAACGAACGCAAAATCGCAAACGAGAAGGCTTCAATCGTAAATACGAATTACGAAACCTACGGTTGTTGTATACTTGAAATAAGCCTTAATATTCGTTAGTCAGAAAAAGGCTTGTTTTGAGCAAATTATTATTCAATTTTGTGCTAAAGTTTAAATTCTTTTACGTTAAATATTGTAAACCTAACTTGCTACTTTAATTTTAGTATTTAATTTCATTAATACGCATTAGCAAATTTTACCATGCAGGCGTGCCTCTTTAGTACAAAAAGGTAACTGGGAAGGGGAAAAAACTAATTCTTATGTATCTACTTCTAATAGTATCTTTATAAATATATTTTCCGGTATGATGGAGTAGGCCAAAGTGTTGGAAAGTTTTATTTCAAGGAAATTTGCATACAAATGCAAACAAACTACAATACGCAGGGGGAAATAATGGTTAAATGAGGTGTTTATTAATAGAGGGAATAATATAAAGATGTGTCTGGCTCTTCCTAGGTCTGCAAACAAAAGCGAGACCCACAAATAGTAATCCATTGTTTGCAAAGAATTTGCTTTGCTTAATGAACGCTGTACTTTTATTAGACGGAGTTTGAAAGTTTGTAGATAAGATCGCAAGACGTTTCTGATAATGGTGAATAATAATATGGTGAGCTAGGAGATCTAAACATCGATTAACTACAAAGTAATCGATCATTTATGGGCCCTTAATACAATAGAAAAGTAGCTTTTTTTGTACATCTAATAGCTAAGCAACGCAGAATTTTATAAAACGTTATCGTTATGAAAGCCAGAGATTAGGTAACCGGTAAGTATGAACATTGTGAAATTTTTCATAAGCTCTGTTTCGATGAAAATACTAATAAAGACAAAAAATCTATGCTAGAAAACTTAAGTCATACGCGCAAATTACAACACCTACCATAAACGTGTACTTGAAATTTACTTTAAATTTCATTTATCAAGAAAAGAATTGCTTTGACTAAATAGTTGTTCAATACTGTAATGGAGCTAAAATAGCGTTTACGTTAATAATTCAAAATCAAAATTGTTACTTTAATTTTAGTTTGTTATCTTATTAATAAGATTTAGAAAATGATCCCGGGCATTTTTCTTGAACAAAAGACCTAAAAACCCCTGCAAAGTCGTGGACTAAATTTTAACAACAAATTTCAAGTGTTTGCCCCATGGTGGAGAAACCAGAACTCATTCAAATGAATACTTTTTTATGCACTTGCGTTTGAAAATAATTTGCATACGCAGGGAAATGAAAGTTTAACAAACTTCATGCCTAATGGAAAGAAACAATTATAACAAGCTATAAAATAAATTTTATACCAAGTTTGAAGAAGCTATTTGCATCGAATTTCGACATTTCCCATCTTACAAGCGAAAACATAAGTCTCAAAAATTGTTTAAAAAAAATTAACGATTTCCTTATTGCCTGAAATATAATTCAATAAAGAAGTTTCTTTACATCTAACAGGTTGCTGCTAGCTTTTGGCGACTCCAATCCCTCGCTGATATTGTCGTCTATCTGTTGCGTGTTTTCATAATCCTCTTGCAAACTACGGTGATATTTAGTGTAAGTTTGCGGATGATGAACTTTTGTTGTTGCTCCAATTGCTGGATCCAAAACGAGCTTTGTATGTTCTCTTAACTTTGCACAAGTTGTTGATTGCGACGGTAATAGATGCGCTATGCCACTACCGCTGCTATTTGCTGAACGCTTACTCTTACTATGATCCACATGCCGAAAATTATTTAAATTATGTGATTTACTGCTATCATGACTAACTGACTAGCTTGAACGCAACGGAAAGCAGCAAGCAGCATTAAAGGGAAGTAGGAAATGTTTTAAATTCATCAAAATGTGAACTAATATTTAAAAGCGAATTGTGGGCATATAATGAGAGACTAGCTTACCGATAAATCAGTTAGGCCGCCGCTATTAAGTTTATCCTCTAACATAACAGGCACAGCAGTGTGGCCTGAACCGCCTGTAATCATATCCGTGCTACTTCCACTACCGCTGACACCGGCGCTCGAAGTATTCAAACCATTTGAGGCCGTACATGGCACATCGTTCAAACCAACTGAATTTATCAGATTACCACTCGTAACAGAAAGACTAACGGCGCCACTACCGCCCACCGCATTTCCAGATTGCATAGAATATATTGGATGGTTGGGATCAGCTAAATCAAATATCGGTTGAATTACGTCCGGAGCAAATACATTATTCTTTTGCCATAAGTTTAGCACTCTTATAATACGACTCTTATCCTCAGAAGCACATCTGAACAAGTTTGCAAAAGTCTCCTTAATGTTACGGGCAAATCGAGGTGCAAATACATCTTTCTCAGCACCAAACTGATGACGTGATTGGCGCACAATGGAGTCAATCACATATAATCCGGGCACCTTATACTCGGGTTTACATTTCAATATAAATTTCTCCACACTTTGCACAACGTGTTTATAAAACTTAATGGCACGCATGGCTGCTTTTGTAATACCTGCCATTTTAGCTTTGGAGATTGGTGGTTTTGTATCGTAAAGCCCAGAAAGCTAAAAATATATTTTAAAAAGATATATATATGTATTAGCAGGAGGGCATGTGCATACATAAAAGCTGGACTTCACAGTATTTAGATTATGTTGCGCGTGCGAACATTGATTGTAATTTCATAATCAAACAAACATAAGCGCGAACGATTTTGTGAGAAGCAGTTCCATGATGTCTTTAGGTACAAGAAACTGCTTTTTAAAAGCTTATTGCTGCTTGTCAGTTGAATTTCTTACCTCATTGTTAAAGGCTATAACGTTTTCCATATTCAATGGTTTGGGCACTTCTGCACAAATGAAAAAACACACCTGGTATATTTTTTATATCAAAAACTCAGTTTTCTTCCACTAAAAATTCGCAAAATGAATGCAATTTTTCTACGTATTTACATAATAACATATGTTATATGTATTAATCCTCTTTAATGCTTAGTGTCTTATGTTGTAAAGTAGTTTTACACTTCAATTTCCAAGGAACTAACTTCTTGCTGGTCGTGTGAAAATTTTCTTGAAGTAAGAAAGGAGCAAAATGGCGATTTACCTTTTTCAATGTCTAAAGCAGTATTATAAAGGTTGCCATTATCCCCCAATTCTACCACTTTCACTAATGCTGCTCTACAGTCTAATGGTACTATTTTATTCTGAGTTCTGCTTAAAGCTGAATTGTAATCTTGTTAGCTAAGGCACTAATTATGTATTTTTTAATAAATTATTTTATATAATGTATTAAAATATTCCATTAATATTTCCTATTTCTTGTATAATTTCTGATAGATAAGCACAAATGGTGCTCTGTACAATGCTTAAGTAAAGGTCATTACCGCCACCCATTAATAGCCATGTAGACTTTTGCTTATGTCAGCACTCACAATTTTTCGTAAAACGTAGTCTGTTGCAGATATCTATATCTAATTGAATGCGTACGTATATTTTAATTTATATTGTTGGGAAAAGTATAAAATCATTTCTTATACATTGTCTATAAAGTAAGAGGTCTTGAAACGTCCCGGAGAGCACTTCTATGCTTTACAAAATTCCTTTTCAGCCAATCTCGTTATTCCTCCGCAGCTTAGTAACATAATATAAGAAAAGGAACCACTCCGCCTAATATTTCTAAACCTACTTGACCATTTAATAATATTTTACTCAACCTTTTTTTGTTTCGCAAAATTAATTAGACCAGTTCCCGACAATATATTCAGTAGACAAATGAGCTTCTTGGCCTTTTATCAATGATAACGACAGTATACGATGATGGGTGGAAAGATTGGTAATACATAATTAATTGCAAGTTTTGGCAAATTAAGAAGAGTAATTACATATGCGGAGTAAAAACCAAGAAAAAAAAGAATTCATTTATATAGCCTTCACAAATTTAAAACTTTTGCTTTAGTTCAGCTGTATGTATGTAAACAATTTTGTTCGCAATTTATTTTGTTTTCAATTTACAGCTGTTTTCTCATATATATGCAGCTCAAACAACCAACACTAAGTGAAGGCGGTAATCATGTAAACAGGCGACTGTCGCCCTGTTTTGTTATGGGAGTTAATTGATTATCGCCTAGAGGCTAATAAAATATCAACGGCGACGATACTTCCCAACAAATTTCTTATTTCGATGCATTAATAACTGAGAGGCGCGTACAAAATGAAGAGCCGATCTGATATTTATTTGTTTTGTATAAACAAGCCACATATGCTAAATAATAACAAGCATGCAAGGTGAAAATGAATAGAAAACTATATAGAATTTGGAAAATGAAAGAAATAATGAAGTTGAATCCAGTGTTTAAATTTTTAAGTTTTTTATTACAGAAGAAGTTAGTTACTACATTTTTTTTTTTTACAGATTTTCCGCAATAATGAATGATAACATTTCTGGTATAATATGTTGTTGGCGATTGATTCATATAAATTATGCCTTCTCCAACATTGTATAATTTTCTTTTACATTACTATATATCAAACTTTTTATTTTTTTATACTCATATATGAACAAATAAGAAGAAGATATGCACATTCTGCAACTGGCAAGCTTTACTTCTGTACATTCTGCAACCGGCACGCTTTATTTTTACACATTCTGCAACTGGCACGCTTTACTTCTGTACATTCTGCAAATGGCACGCTTTATTTCTACAC